CCTGAGGTAACGCCTCGGCGGCGGCGGAGGAGGCGCCGTGGAAGAGCCGGCAGCCGCGCTAATACCCGCGAAGCAGCGTGCGAGAGCAGTCGGGAAGGTATGGCTGAGCAGGGCGCTGCCACATAAATGTTTAAGAGGGGCGCTTCAAGAGAGAGAAGTACCTTGCGTTGGAGAACTGAGGTGTCCGAACGGTACCACAGGTACCTACAAGGTTTCCATCCTACAATTCCCGTCCCAAGGAAGCACATATCCCAAAAATAAATTATCATACATGCAATTCTGGGAGACTGTCAGGAGAGAAAGAGTTGTAAAAAGTTGTGACATTGTTGGTTCTTAGTTGAATTTTATTTCTTTTCTGGTACGTGATGTGGGTAGGCTGCCATCGGCCTTTGTGTAATTCATGTTTAGTCCAAAAAGCGTACAGACTGAATCCTCTCTTTGCTGACGCTTCTGCTCATCACAGTCCAGGGACACATCCCTTCTGCCGTTTGGTAACGTGGCTTCTGGTCTGCTGTTCACCCGCAGAACAGCAAAGAGTGATCCACATCATGACTGGAAATTAAAAGAAAGCTGCACGCTCCCATTCCATGGAGCAGATGATCCATCGACGCACTTTAACTCTTCAGCTAAAATGTGTTGACGCAGGTTGCCTGATGTTTAGGGCTCTAGTAAAACACCAAAACTTTGCCAAAGTCCTAAATCTGTACAATAACAGGTATGTCTTAAAGGCCTGGAGCATGCACGTACTATGGAAGGCAGAAAACCATCAGTGGTGTTGTGTTCTTAGGTGCTTGCTAAAAAGTACTACTTCAGACTATAGTCAATTACCTGTAATTATTAGTATCTCAGCTCTATCATATATAAACTTGATCTTTAGACTATATGTTCAGTAACTGTAAATTCTAAAAACGTTACTTTGGGATACTCAGCATAATAATCCAATGCATAATTTTCCTCATGTATTTAGATCTACATTTGCCCTTCATCATTGACCTAGTAAATGCTTATCTTCCAAGAATGTAGTCTCTTAATGAAACCTAGAGTCAGACGCCTAACGGTGGAAAAATGAATAAAGTTTGTCTTTTGAATATGGATTTTGATTGAATTTTGCTACTGTACAGGTCCATTTTACCTATCCATGCTGAAAGGGACTAATTTCCTCCTCATACCTTTTAGTGTCATTGCCTGTGCCGCCTTGGACATTGGTGTGCAGACATCCATTCCTGCCTGAACTCATGTTCCAGAGATATTTCCACCATCGTTGCTTTAACTGGGAAGTGTAAGTATGTTCCTTTTCATTGCTTGCCTGCATATGTTGTGGCCTTCTTTTACAGTTTACAAAATGAGTTTGCTTCCTACTAATAGAACAGTTACATTCAAATACGCTCTTTAGCTCTGTGACTCTGCTTACCTCCAGTACTCCCTTTTGTGCCGTTCCTCATTTGCATCTTCAGATGCCTACTTAGTCAGGGCTGCCTTCTGCTTTGTGCATTTATCTGCATTGGTGAGTTGCTAAGTTTGTTCACAGTTGACCTGAGTCAAGATACAGGAACTGTAAAGATCTTTTAAAAGTAATTATGCTGCTGATTACCTAGTGATACCTTATGGACTCTAATCTCTTAGATAGTGATCTAACACTGCTGATGAGTGCTTGGAAGTGTTTAGTTGCCTTTGCGGAATGGCATTATCTGGAGCAAATGTTTTGTGGATCCTCTGAACTGAAGGCTTACATATACATGATAATAAAACGGATGATAAAAACTGGATTCCACATAGTAATTTATCTTCGTAGCAACAAAATAAGTATTTGCCAGGAGCTCAAATGCTATGATAGGGGACGTTTAAATTAGAAATCAATTTTAATTATTCCAAATTAAAGTATCAGATAGTATTATTTGTTTGCAGGGAAAAAAGTAGTTTACCAATAAATTTGTAACAATATTGAGAAGTTTCTAAAGTACACTGAGTGCTCTGTACACGTTTACAGATTGTTTTTTTCCCCCTGTAAGTGTTTATATTCGTAAAAACTGCCAGATTCCACTAACGTGGCTTTATGGGCTCCTATTTATAAACGCATGCCTATTTGTCAAGAAGAGAGGTGGAATTCACAAGGGTTTCATAAAGATAGCTTTGTGCTGAGAAAAATGTAAGATGAGTTAAAAATTCTGAAAAATATCCTTCCTGACACCTAGAGGCGATCAGCAAAAATGCTAAAAAAACCCACAAACCCAACTTGGCCAAGAAAGGGAAAGCAAGTTCAACAAGCCAGTGATTTTTCCAACAAAGAAAACCTTATGCAACATTGGGATTGGCATTACACGATCAAATAAACAAAAATTACAGCAGAGTGCAAGTTGTGAAACTTTCTATATGCATTGCCTCTACCTCTGTAGAAATTGAACAAGAAATAAGCTGTGTTTGTGTATATCACCTGGCATGAAATATTTATGTTAGTTCAATCCAGAGATACTTTAAAAAATGATTTATTTATTCTAGATTATGGGGTGCACCAACAAACTTCATGCAGACCACGTAAAAGTTGTTTAAGTATATTAGAGTAAAAAAAAAAAAAGGCCTTAAAAATCAGCGTGAACCCACAAACTCGGTATTTATAGACCTATGCAAAACACTTATGTTCTTTGAAAGTCAGTTTTTGAACAACTTTCTTCTACTGAAGTTTGGACTTGAGAGCTTGAGAACTATTCTAAATAATCCAGGGTTTACAAAATAACTTTGTTTTTATTAGTGCACTGTCTCATGAACGCAGATCAGGTTGTACAAAGAACTGAAAATAATGGTCATAAGGTACATTTAAGGACAGTCCTTTTGAACACAGCCGTTTTTACCTGAAAGCTGTTCAATTAAATCCTCCTGCTGCTTTTAAAGACTTTATTAAACCGTGCTGGAGGCAGTTTATTAGGTTTCCTGAGTCCCTACATGGAATTTTTAAACTTTGTCCGCAGGAAGCGTGTCATCAGCTCACTAGCTGATGGCACACACTAAACCGCTTTCTGATGCGATTTTAATGATGGAACGGGGAGACGCCGAGTTCCCCGCGCAGCTCAGCCGGGCACAGAGGCTCTGCCCCAGCGCTCACCAGCAAACCTCGGGCTTCGCGGCAGAAGGCGCCACTCGGAGCCGCGGGTTCAGTCCCCTCTCCAGCAGCCCGGGGGAAGGCAGCTCCGCGGGCTGGGACCTGTTGCGGCCGGAACGGTGCGTGCGCGCCCTCCCGCCCACATCACAAAGCAACTGCTCCCCCGCTGCCTCTTACC